TTGCGAACACAAACGCAAAACCTCAAGTCAGTTCTCCCACCGCATCACAGGCGGCTGCGAGAGTGCTCCTTTCAAATGAATGAGGGATTGCTCGCATTCGAGCGTCCACTCGAAGGCGACTTCCTTGCACTAGAGTTTGAACAAGGGAAGCGCGTGTTGGGCGGACTTTTCCATGAATTGAGAGAGAGAGAGAAGTGAGCATGCCATTCAAGATTTAGATGGACTTTTTCAAGATGGGCGTCAGAAATTTGGAAAATGCCTGACATTTGCCAGGGTTTTCCTCAATGCCTCGTTCCGTTAGATAAAATATGAGAAATTTTCCTACCTGTATGCCGAAGGTACATTTTTCTGGGTTAAATCACATCCGGCACTTTCGAGCTTGCTCGAATACTTTCATTAAGTGGGCGGCATGGTCGAGCTCCTTGGTGGACTTGACGATCATGTCGTCCATATAGACTTCGAGCATGTCACCTATCTTGTTGTGAAAAACTTTGTTCACCATGCGCTGATATGTAGCGCCCATATTTTTTAGACCGAAGGGCATTACATTGTAGTAATAGTTACCCGAATCAGTCATGAAAGTCGTGTATTTTTTGTGTCTATTTTTGCCACTGGGATCTGGTTATAACCAGAGTATGCACCCATAAATGATATCAATTTGAAATCGGCCGAGTTGTCGACCAGTTTGTCAATATTAGAGAGGAGATAAGCATCTTTCGGGAAAACCTGATTGAGATCAGTATAATCAATACACATGCACCATTTTCCATTAGATTTTTTCACAAGAACTACATTTGAGAGCCAGGTTATGTACTGGGCTTCAGAAATAAAATGTGCATCTAGGAGTTCTTTTACAGCTAGTTTTGCAACCTTCTCTTTCTCAGATGACTGTTTTCTTCTACGCTACGCGACCACCTTGAGGGAAGGATCTATAGTCAAGTGATGGCATGTAACTTCTAGATCTAAACCGAGCATCTCGTCCACACTCCAGGCGAATATATCATCATTCCCCCTTAGGCAAGCTTTGAGTTGCCTTTTTTCCAGGTCGAGGAGGTCTGCTCCAATCTTCACTCCTATGGTGGAGTCTTCTCCGAGGGGAACCAGCTCGAAGTCGCCGTCTGGGATAGTCCGTGCGTGACTCGAGAGTTCGTCACGACCAGCAGAGGGGGTCGAACCTTCATCTTCGACCATAAGCTCCTTCCCCTTCCTTCTTTGCTCGACACAGTCTTCCTTGGAGAAGCAACTGTCGAGGCCAATGGTATCAACCCTTGGCATAGGCTTGGCTTCCTCAGAGCATGAGGGTAGTGTGGCTCCAGTGGTCGTTCGAGGTTGAACGCTGATGAAACTGAGGCCCTTGGCTGAAGCTTTGAAGCACCTTTTTGCTGCTTGGATGTCTCTGTGAAAGGTAACGACCAAGACTTCAGTAGTGTAGTACTTCATCTTGAGATGCACGGTAGAGGGAACCGCGATGAGTTCGGCGAGAGTGGGTATCCCAAAGATGCACTGGTAGAGAGACGGGCAATCTACCACCAAAAATTGAGTCTTGATGGCTATGGACGTTACCCCTCTCCCGAAGGTGACAATCAACTTGACATATTCCCAGGGTTTTGTGCTGGCCCTATTGAAGCCCTGGAGATCTGATCCCACGTAAGGGGTCAAATGGCTCTCATTCAGTTGTAAGGGCATACATGATGTCCACCGAACTGCCTTGGTCGACCAGTATGTGGCGCACGTCAAAATTTTCCATGCGAGCTCTCACGAGTAGTGGGATGCTCGAATTTGGGGGCCCGACCGACAATTCTTCCATGTAAAAGGCGGGGGATAAGAGCCTCCTCGAAATTTATCGAGCGTGGCATCCATATCTGAGTTGGCTTTGATGAGTTGGTCGAATCTCCTCTTCACCAACCCAACTGTGTGCCTGTTGAATTCTCTGCAGGAGATGACCATAGTTGCGGGGAAGGATTCCTAAGGACTGTGGGAGGAGAAGTACATGGGGACGTTCTCCATGTCCGAATAATAGAAATCTCCCGGATGCGAGATGCTCATGGAGACCGGAATGGCGTCGAGGTCGGGGGGACTTCTTCCACTCCTCGGCGTTTTTGGTTTCTGGTGCTTCGTCACGGGTACCCTCCTTCTTTTTATACTGCTTGAGGTGCCCGTCTCTGATCAATATTTCGATTGCATCCTTGAGATGAATGCAATCCTCTGTGTTATGCCCGTGACTTTTATGGAACCTGCAATATTTGCTCTTGTCGGTTCCCGGTTTGGACGGTGTTTATCGAGGGAAGCACACCCCGACTTGCTTAAATTCCGAATTGGCACATTCAGAAAAAATACACTCCCTTGAGGTTGTCAGAGGGGTGTAGTCATGGAAACGACCGACTGGCCCCTTGTAGTCTTTAGAATTGCGTGACTTGTCTTCCCGTTTATTTTCTCCTCGACGGGATGTCGAGGGCTTGTCGTTCTTCGAGGACTTGGAACTCTCTCTGTGCCTTGATTCCCTGGAATTTTTGGCCGCTTATTTCTCCTCATACTGTATGTACGCCTGGGCCTTGAGGAGGAGGGAGTCGAGTGTGGCCGACGTCTCGATGCCTACAGCTTTGGCAAAGTCACTACAACGAAGGATACCGCGCTCGAGGAGATACTTCTTCATGTTATCGATCGTTGATACCTGGAATGCTTCCTTGTTGAAGCATTCAATATACGTCCGCAGAGACTCGTCCCTGCTCTGGATGATTGCTTCGAGCGAAGCCTATGATTTCTGGTGTCGACAAGAGGCGGTGAAATGCCTAGAAAATATCCTCCCGAGCTGCTTCCATGAGGTGATGGATTCGTTGGGGAGGCTCTTGTACCATGATATCGCCCCCTTCCTGAGAGTGGTTGGGAAGAGTCTGCATTTAATGGCTCCCCTGACTCCCCGATAGTCAAGGAGAGCGTCGATGTTCTCGATGTGTTCGTCAGGGTCTGTTGTCCCATCATAGGTTCTCAATGGAGGTGGCTTCTCCAGGTCGACGGGAAGTGGGGCATATGTAATCTCCCTTGATAGCGGGTCACGGGGCTCGTCATCCCCACTATCCGTGGGAGATGGAGAAGGGGAGTGATAGTTTCTTCCCCGTCGATCATCACGGTCTCGTCGGGGGGAGGGGCTCCTCCTTTTCTGATTTGGTTCGGGCGAAGGCAGTTGAACGCGGTTGATTTGTCGGTTGTCTTTCCTCTTCTTGAATGAATGGGGAGTCTTGATCTCTCGCAGAGGTGTGCGGTTGTGTTTCTTGAAGAAAGAAATTTTGCATCTCTCCTTTCTGGGTGGTAGGCCACGCCTGGGTGGCGATATACTGGGGGAGTTTCGCCGTCGGGTTCTCTGAGAAGGAGATCTTGATCGTTTGTTCTCCCAGGCCCTATCCTTTGATTCTGTTGTAGGATGAGGGCATTGGTCTAATTGATAGCAGCGAGCAACGCTGCCATGACCGAGTCGGTGTTGAGAGGGATGTGAATTGATTGCATGACTTCTGGCAGTTTCTCGGTGGAATTCTTGGGACGTCAATTGTCAAAGAATTAGTCGTCTCTGCGTCCAGCGTTGGTTGAATCTGGAGACGCAGACTGTCCGTCTCAGAAGCCTAGTTTGTTCTCGAGGTGAGGATGTTCCTGACTTCCTTCGATTTTGTGAGCAGGGGAAAAATAGTCTTTCCGAGCAGATGAAGATCATCATGGTCGGCCATGATTAGTGAGAGGAATCTTGAAAAAGTTGCTTTGATCTTAAGTTTCGAGAAAAGAAAGATGGGGAGAGCAGTTTCCCACAGACGGCGCCACTGATCTTACCGGTTGATCAGAACTTGTGAAGTGGCCGGAAGATGATATGTAGTCGATCTGTGATGTCGAGGAAAAAAGGGGTTATACCTGCAAGGCACTTCGACGATCAAGTAAGAGTGGGAACAAGGAGATACAAGCAAAGTGTTAGATGTGAATAGTGAATATTCGATACCTGACCCTCACAGGTGTGAGAGTTTATATAATGCCCCTGACGCGTGGCCATTGGTTCCTGATTTCACGCCTGAATATGCGGGTCCGTGAAATCAGGTAACTGCTAGGACTTAGTCAAACCGGACATATGTGCCTGTTACTAGCCGTTGGTTCCGAGGAGGGGGCCAGTTACGGACATCTCTCTGATTGGTTCCTGGTGGTCTGCACGACATTGGTGTCGGCAAGCTGAGAGGATGCTCGTCGATCATCCTAGATCAGTGCTGATTTGGGAGGACAAATGATCGATATTACCCGACAGATAACAGGCGATTCAGATCATGAACGTGCGGTCTACACCAAAGAAAAAGTTTAAACTGGACCAATTCAAAACTATCATACCAATCCAAAACAATTACATTTCCCATGCCACTAGAGAGGAATAAAAAAACTTCATAATCTTCACCGGAACGTAACCATCAAATCTCAATTTACTCCCCTCACATGAACAAAAGATCTACCGCGATAAAGAAATGCCCGTGAAATTAAGTTTGAGATATGTAGCTATTTTCTTGGGTTAAACTCCAAATGCGACTCTCTAATAGTAACAATTTTTAAAAATAAATATACGTAATTATATACTGAAAATTAAATAAATCATTAAAATATTTTTTTTTTGTTACAAATCATTAAAATATTCGTTAAGTAATAAATTTCATACTAGTAAGAATTTTAGTTTTTTTTTAATCTAAAAACAAATTCTAATAAGGATTTTTGTTTTATAGAATTACACATTTTATAATGGACCAAAGCAACGCCATCACATATTATGACCAATTAGGGAGTTCTCAAATTAAACATCAAAATGTCAAATTTCAATTCACAAAAAGATATGGCAATGAATAATATTTGGCATATCCCATTTCTGTGAATCAAATTCACTCACTCATTATTCCCTTTGGGGGGATTCTCACCAATTCCCATGAACAATTTCTAATCAACCTTCTTCAACCTTTCACACCCTTCAATTTATTTGAAAACTTTCTATGGCATCTATGAACGAAGATAACAATGTTAACGAAGAAGATGCTCGTGTAAAGGAGAAAGACCCATTGATTCAAACTTATAACAAAACCAACGACGGCAGTGGTGATTACATTGATTTGGTGACGCCCCACCGTGATTCTATACCGGAGACCACCGTTCCGGCTCCTCCACCACAACCACCACCTTTGTTGTATTGGGTTAAAATAGGGGTGCTTGTCCTGTGCTTTAGCGTTTTAGGTCTTGTTGTTTTCAATTGGGTTGGACCATTCTTCATTCAAAAGGTTTTTTTCCCTTCTTCTTTGATATTCTTCGCCAAATCATGTTTTTCATTTTGCTCGTAAGAATATATAATAATGCAGGTTTCTTTATTTCAATATGCACGAGTCTTTTTAAAAACGGTCGCGGTTGCGGAATGGTTTCCACACGGCCCATACAGTTTTTGCTGTGTGAATTAACCCATAATTTTGTCGCAGCCGATTCCCATTCGCCGACAGTTTTTTAAAACCCTGTGCATGGTCATAATTGTTTAGTATAACTTTCTCAAATTTATAACATTCTTGAGATACAATATTCATAATTACATATATATCTTGTTAAAACTTGCCAATCATGTGCTTATAACTTATAAGTTGAAACTCGCCATACAACTCGGTTTTGTATGGTTTAGTTAGGCCAAACCACATTTTTTTAACTTGGTATCAGAGCTCAGTTTAAAGTTTAAAATCTGTTAGGCCACCTCACATGCTATCAAGTTTTGCTGTGGGGTCACCTATTATTTATTTCCATGATTTAGATGTCCAATTTTAAATGTGAAGGAGTGTGTTAAGAGTTCCACATTGAATAATATATAACCTAAACATGTGCTTATAAATGATGGCAACTCACCTTACTAGTCGTTTTTTTTATGATTGAATTAGGTTAAACCACCTTTCTTTTAACATATCTCAATATAACATATCTTTGTTTTTCAGGTGTTTATTCCATTAATAAATTGGCAGGAAGAGACATTCACCACTAAGCAATTAGCTCTTATAGTGTTTGCTTCAATATCAATATTTCCTACCATACTTTTACCATCTTCGCCTTCTATGTGGTTTGCTGGAGTGATATTTGGTTATCTTTATGGTTTCTTGATAGTAATGTCTGCAGCAGTTATTGGAGTATCACTTCCTTTTTTAATTGGCTCAATGTTCCATCATAAGATTGAAGTATGTGCGTTATCTTTAATCTAAGTTGTTGTTTATTTCTTAATGTTCGTATCGTTTGTGCTAATTAGGATTGAAGAATTTGTGATTCTTTTTACAGGGTTGGTTAAACAAATATCCAAAGAAAGCTACTGTTTTAAGATCTGCTGGTGGAGGAAATTGGTTTCATCAGTTTAGAGCAGTTGCTCTAATAAGGATTTCTCCATTTCCTTACATACTTTATAACTATTGCTCTGTGGCAACAAATGTTCAATATGGTCCTTATTTGTGTGGATCTTTGGCAGGAATGACACCAGAAGTAATTGCTTCAATTTACACGTAGGATATCTTTTTCCCTCTCTTTTCGTTGATTGTTTGTTTGTGAGTTACTTTTCGTTAGATTATGACTGAATACCTCTAAGCCTTAATCTGACTAGAAGCCATAAGTGTGCTCGTCATTCACACGGAGGGTAGAATCCTTTCCACATGGCTTAAATATGTGATAGGTGTATTGTAAGTGGCAGAATAGCTTTGCTGCTACGATAGATTCAACTCTCGTCGTTTTGATTAGTAAACAATAGGGAAAAAAATTCAGCTCTCGTCAGCTCTAGACAAAATTAGTTTTTAGTATGAAGCCCGGACTCAGACACGGACACGGGACACGGGACACGGACACGGACATGAGGACTCCGCTAATTTAAAAAGCATAGGACACAGATACGGCTATATATATTTTATATATTAATATAATAATACAATTTATGAACACCATTTATAAAGAGTTTAAAATGAGAAGCAAAATTTATGTTTATTTAAACTTAGTACTCAATAAAAAAAAACATAAATCCACCAAAACAAAATGATACTAATCATATCCTAGTTACTCCATATTGAGAAAAATACACACACACACACGTGGTGATAGAGTTGTGATGTCGTGGAAGAAAATACACACAAAGTGTCCCTCGATCGAAGAAAATACACACACATATTTGTATTTAAATAGTTTATTAAGAATTGTATATATGAATTTTCCTTTCGCGATGTACACTAGAAATGTTTTAGCAACATATATGATAGAGCAGTACTCAATAAAAATTTATAATAGTGAAATTTGAGTTGGGCCTTTTTTTTATTTAAAAATTTTGAATTTTTGGTTGAGCCGTATCCTATATTTAAAATAAAGTGTCGTACCCGTGTCCGCTGCGATTAATTTTTTTGTTGATGGACCCTTCAAAAATGTGTCAGATATGTGTCATACGAGTATCCGTGTCGGACACGTGTCCGACACGCCGTATAAATGGCGTGTCGGAGCTTCATAGGTTTTTACAAATATGTTACTATAACGTTATAGTGATAAAATATTGTCTTGAACTCACTGTCTAATTCTGCAGGGGAATTTTGATACGAGCATTGGCGGATGTATCACACAAAACAATTTTTCTATCTGCTCCACAGATTGCCTTCAATGTTGTTGGCTTCTGCATAGCTATAGGTACAACAGTATTTTTCACACTCTATGCTAAAAGACAGCTCGATCTGTTGCGGAGAGAAGATGAACTGCTATTGAAAAAACATCATTATGGCTCATTATATATTAACTGATGCATACTGTAAAATTGGATGAGATCTTACTACTTAAGTAGCCTCACGCCCTTGCCCAATGAGGCAGATGAGGGTTACTGAGGAACAAGCTGAAAAAAGTTTTACTTCTCTGGTTGTTTCAATAAGTAAAAAGGAGGTGTAGAGCTTTTTTTCTTGTTCTACTCAAAAGAAAGTGTAGAGTTAAAAATGTTCTTCAACATTATCCATATAGTACAAGATATGTAATTTAGCGTGTAATTGTTTTGGCGCTAACACATTCTCGGGCCCTCCATCTCAGATTCTGTGTCTCATAGCTCAGCAGAGTATTTTTGTGTTGGTTTTTAATTTTTCTTTCTTTGTATTCACCATTTGTCCAAATGTTAAAAACTTGTAGTGATACTTACCGAACATATATTACATTGTTTAAACCCAATGTCTTAAATAATTGATTCTATGGGATAACTTCTTTTCTTGTTTGGGACATGCATTGGTCGGTACTCTAATGTGTTGTGTGGGCGAGGGTGTACCTCGAAGCTGATCCACATAATAATAATAATATATTGTCACTAACTGAAGTGACAATATATTGTGTTGTGTTAGAATCAGTCAAAGACTAATGATAGTTGGCAATTCAAATGTTTGCTCGTGTTCTTTGTTTATATTGTCACTAACTGAAGTGACAATGCTTAGGTCTGCCACTTCAAATTGCCTTGTTGAAATTTCATCCTGCAATTCAAATTCTACTCTCTAGCCTATAAAATTCTAGTCCAACTTATATTTAGGAAATAATTATACAGAAATAGTCGGTAAACAGGTAACAAATTTTGCAGCAAGTTTTCACACATTATCGAACGTTGTATAAAAAGTTCAAATAATACCACAATCTCAAAATCTGTGTCTCATAGCTCAGCAGGGTATTTTGTGTTGGTTTTTAATATTTCTTTCCTTGTATTCACCAATTGTCCAGATTTTAAAACTTGTAGTAGTGATACTTGCTCAACATATATTAAAACGACTTAAATCCAATGTCTTAAACAATTGTCTGTATGTGATTATTTGTTTTCTTTTCGAGGACATGCCTTGGTCAGTACTATAACGTGTTGTGTGGCAGGGTGTACCCCGAAGCTCATCCACATAATAATAGTTAGAATATATTAGAAATAATTTATATTTTAAGAATGTCTTGTTTACTAAGTCTGTTAAAGAGTATTTTAGTATTTTATTATACTCTAATATTGTGTAAAAATAGTTTAGTGGTAGGTAAGTCAATGTATTTATTACTCATTATTTTGTAGTCACCATTTAATATATTTATTTTGTCTTTCCTCTCTCCTTTGTGCACCAATAATTAATATCTAGAATTCTGGTTAGAAATCCACGGGAAAACACGGGAAACACGAGTGAACAATGAAGTGTTGTGTGATTGAGAATCACGTTTTTCTGATTTTGTAGGATTTGGGAAACATTGTGTGTTAGTGAGTTTTGAATGAACTCCACAAGGTTGAAGATGAACGGAAACGACGATATCAGTTCCAAGCTTTCAGTGTTTAATGGCAAAAATTGGAATCGTTGGAAGATCCAGATGCGTGTGTTTTTTGGTTCCCAAGATGTGTTAGATTTTGTCACTGATGACTATGCTTCATTAGCAGCAGACACGATGGAGGCCCAGAAGACAACGCATAAGGTGATAAGGAAGAAAGATTAGAAAGCATTGTTCTACATCCATCAGTGTGTGGATACAAATGTATTTGAGAAGATTGATGACTCTGAAACAACAACGGATACGTGGGACACACTGAGTAGGTGTTACGATGGTGACACATAAGTGAAGAAGGTGAAACTTCAGTCTCTTAGAAAGCAATATGAGAATCTCAACTTGAAGGACAACGAGAAGGTTTTTGAGTACATCTCTAGAGTGATTTTAATCACCAATGAGATGAAAGCTTGTGGAGAAACCTTTTTTGAACAAGTAATCATTGAGAAGATATTGAGGTCTCTTACTCCCAATTTGATTATATTGTTGTAGCAATTGAACATTCTAAAGATCTGGACACCATGAGAATAGAAGAGCTGCAAAACAGTCTAGAGGCGCAAGAGTTGCGTCTGACTGAAAGAACTTCTGAGAGGGAAGTTGAGTAGGCTCTGAAAGCTTTTTTTGTCAAAAAAGACCAGAAATAGAAGAGACATGGTGGTAGTTCCCAGAAGTCAGAAGTCTTCTATTCTAATGAAAAGAAATATCAGAAGGGAAAGGAGAAATATGAAAAGAGAATGGTTCAGTGTTACTGTTGTTAGCAGTTTGGCCACTTTGCTAAAGATTGTTGGTTAAACAAAGAAGAAACAAAAATAGGTAGAGGAGATTCTGATGATGAACCTGTGCTATTGATGGCTTATGAATCTGATAAGGAACCCGTCTGAATGTTATTTTCTGATTCTGAAGGGGAAGAAGATGACTCTGAATATTCTGATCCTGAAGGAGTGATTTTATATGAGTAAGAATCAGAAGATAACTTTGAAGATTCTGAAGACGAGTCAGAATCTGAAGGAGATTCAGCTTCTGAAGATGAGTCAGAATTTAAAAGTTCTTAAGAAGAGTTAGAGTCAGAAGATGAAGAATCTTCTAGAGACTCTAAAGATGAGTCAGATGGTGAATCTGATTCTGATCTAGATTTTAATTTTGGTGGTGGTCATACTTCTAGATGGGAAAATTCTAAAGATGTAGGTTCTGGAGGATAAGCTTCTAAAGATGTTCATGTTTCTGGTGGAAATCATGTCTCTGAAGGTGGACCTTCTAAAGGAGGAGATTCTAAAGGTAATCCAGCCTTTAACGATGATCATGACTCTGAAAGTGGAACTTTTAAAGGCAGAGCTTCTGAAGGTGATCCAACTTTTAAAGATGATATTTTTGAAGGTAGTGGTTCTGAACGAGGTCTAGAAGCTAACAAAGGTGGAGCTTTTGGTGGTAGTCAAACTTTTGAAAAAAGTACAGAAGGAGATATTATTCCAGAATCAGAAGGAGATTATGAACAAGTTCAGAGGCCACATAGAGTCAAAAATATACCAAGGAGATTTGCAGAGTTTGACAAGCTGCAAGATACTAAAGGGACTCTAAGGTATGAAGTGTTATTCCCTTCTGGTGTTAGATCAGATGCAAAGCTGATATGCTATCCAGACTCTGATTTGTATGAAGACAGAATTGACAGAAGAAATATTTCTGGATATTTTTGTTTGTATCTGGAAGGTCTTATTTCTTGTTGCTCCAAGAAGCAACTGGTGGTTGTGTTGTCAATTTGTGAATCTCTCAAGAAGAAAGTGTGGATGAAGGCCATGAAAGAAGAGCTTGATGCTATTGAAAGAAACAAGACTTGGAAGATGACTGAGCTTCCTAAGAAGAAGAAAAACATCAACGTCAGATGTGTTTTCAAGGAGAAATATGCATTTCTAAATGGAGTATTAGAAGTTGCACACTGTAGCAACCATAAGCAACTTGCAGATGTTCTGACGAAGGATGTCAAGACTGAACATTTTATCCGTTTCAGGGATGGAATTCGTGTTGTCAGTTTTGTGTAAATATAAATTAAGGGATGGTGTTGGAAATAATTTATATTTTAGGAATGTCTTGTTGACTAAGTCCGTTCGAGGGTATTTTAGTATTTTATTATACCGTTATATTGTGTATAAATATCCTAGTAGTAGGTAGGTCAATGTATTCATTACTCCTTATTTTGTAGCTATCATTTAATATATTTCTTTTGTCTTTCATCTCTCCTTTGTACACTAACATAATAGATTCACAGATGCCTCAACCAAATCATGAAAGGAAATGATGCAGTAATTATTTAGTAAGCTTCTTCCCTTTACAATATATTTACATCTAAAAATATTTGAGGTTAATATTCAAGAACTACAAGTAGGTGAATATAGATTTAGTTAGGGGTGGTAAAACAGGTCCGGTCCGTTAGGCATGTCTGTTTTGTCCACACTTTAGTGTAGGACGAATCAAGAGTTTAGGTCCTCACCCTCTAACGTGATTGTTCCGTCCCGTCCTATTTTCTTCGCGTGCTTTTACGGGTACAAGCATTACCATAAATTTTTGTATTTTTAAGCTTAAAATGTGCAGTGTCCACTGACTCTCTCTGCCCCACACTCATATTTTTGCGGGACGAATCTAAATTTTATGTCTTTATCCTCAACTATGTCTGTCAGTCTCGTTGTTTTTTTTAGACTTTTACGGAACAGGCTTAAACCGGACGGGCATGCCGTTTGCCACCCCTAAATTTAATAGAATGAAGGATAATGGAATCGAAAATAAGGAAAATGGATATTAGAAAATATTATTATTATATATTTACTAATCCATATTAGTAAGAGTAAGAGTAATTTAATATATTTTTTATTATTGTTTAATATATTTTTTATTATTGTTATAGAACTCTTAGAATATATGTTCTCTTTTGTTAACACGATAACAAAGAGTTTGGTTGATTGTATGAGATATTTGCAATAATAAAAGTTCTAGTCTAATTTTGTTGTTACTATTTGTTTTCTTATTTATTTAATTAGTTAGTCGTCAATTTTGTGTTTATGATATTTTGGTGAATTTTGTATTTGAGTTTGTTTGAACTTTAAATTCGAAGAAAAGTGGTAATGACCAATAAAAAACAATTCTCTTCAATCTGTCACTGTTAGTGTTCAATTCAATGGACAAAATTATAATTATTAGAGTTATGTAATAAAAGAGTTTGAAAGGGAAAAAGATGCTAAGCTATGTTGATGGAACTTCAGTTGAGTCCACTTATAAAAAAGATGAAGCATCATATACAAAAAAAGTTTAAAACATGGAATGTTAGTAATTCGAAGATCATCATTTGGATTAAAATAATTTTGCTTTTCAGTCAATATGATAATATTAAGGAGGTTTAATATTATTTGAAACATTTGTATAATCAATCTAATTTTGTAAAATAGTATCAGTTCGAGAGTGACATTAAGGCTTTTAAACAAAATAATATGACCATTCAAAA